ATTTATTCATAACATCAATGAGACGGTCTCTACAAACTGTTCAGCAACTTGCTAGAGGCATCTAAGAAGCTGTTTCTGACAACTTCCCTAGTGTTTGATTTTGATAACATTAACCTCTTAATTACCATGAAAGTGCTTTTCTTTTTCTGTCCAAGTTTTTCGAGGTACACTGAGGCTTCACGACAGTGACCATGATTTCCTTGTCTTGTCAAGTACCCTGGTACATCGTATGTTTATTTACCCCCTTTTTTGTTTTTGAGATTGAGTTTCGCTCTTGTTGCTCAGGCTGGGGTGCAATGAATGGTGTGATCTTGGCTCACCCCAACCTCCACCTCTCAGGTTCAAGCGATTCTCCTGCCTTAGCCTCCCAAATAGCTGGGATTATAGGCTCATGGCACCACGCCTAGCTAATTTTTGTATTTTTTTGTAGAGGTGGGGTTTCTCCATGTCAGTCAGGTTGGTCTCAAACTCCTGACCTCAGGTTATCCACCCGCCTCGGCCTCCCACAGTGCTGGGATTACAGGCTTGAGCAACCGCGCCTGGCCCATTTACCTCATTTTCATACATGCCATTCTGTTTCCCTGAAAACTATTGACACAGGGGCTGGGTTTTGCTTGTTTGTTCAAACCTGGCTCTCTTATTTCTTATCATCTTACTTTCTTCCTGTGGGAAGAAATCATTCTTTCTGACCCTGAGTTGTACTTATCTGAGTAGGAGATTGCTAGGCTTGAAAAGCAAGAGTTATGGCATCTGTTTGGGAGTCTTAGAGAGTTTATCGAAAGAGCAGAGTTAGCATGGTGAAATCCTGTCTCTACTCAAAATACAAAAATTAGCCAGGCATGGTGGTGTGTGCCTGTAATCCCAGCTACTCGGCAAGCTGAGGCAGGAGAATTGCTTGAACCCTGGAGGTGAAGGTTGCAATGAGTTGAGATCACACCACTGCACTCCAGCTTGGGTGAAAGAGTGAGACTCCCTCTCAAAAAAAAAAAAAAAAAAAAAAAAAAAGTAAAGGAATAAAGATGACTACTCCATTGGCAGAGCAGTGGCATGGGCCACTTGGCTAAGGATACTTATAGTTACTTTTTGATCATATTCTAAACAAGAGGTGGATTATTCTCGTGAGTTTTTGGGGGAAACGGTGGGCAATTCCGGAAACTGAGTGTTCCTCCCCTTGTTAGACCATATAGGGTGACTTCCTGATGTTGCCATGGCATTTGTTAACTGTCATGGCACTGGTGGGAACAATGAGGACAATCAGAGGTCACTTTTGTTGCCATCTTGGTTTTGTTTTATCAGCAAGGTCTTGGAGACCCGTATCTCATCCTGTGACTTAGAAGACTTAACCTCCTGGGAATGCAGCCCAGTAGCTCTCAGCCTTACTTTACCCAGCCCCTATTCAAGATGGAATCGCAATGGTTTACATGCCTCTGACAATTTCATATATTTTCTTACTAGAAAACGTTGGGCGGGGCGCAGTGGCTCATGCCTATAATCCCAGCACTCTGGGAGGCTGAGGTGGGCAGATCACAAGGTCAGGAGATCGAGAACATCTTGGCTAACATGGTGAAACTCCACCTCTACTAAAAATACAAAAAGAATTAGCTGGGTGTAGTGGTGTGTGCCTGTAGTCCCAGCTATTTGGGAGGCTGAGGCAAGAGAATAGCTTGAAACTGGGAGGCAGAGGTTGCAGTGAGCCGAGATCACACCATTGCACTCCAGCCTGGGCAACAGAGCGAGACTCCATCATAAAAAAGAAAGAAAAAGAATGCTGGTGACTGAAAATGCATTTTGGGACTCAAAGGACAGGTGGAGGAATTAGAGCGTGTGAAAGGGAGAAGGGGGTTGGGAATGAGCTGTTCGGGTAGACAGGATTGTTTTTATCTGCCTCTATCTTGGGCAAATGTTCCTAACGTAACTCCCAGGCCAGGCTGTCCCTTCCATTTCAAGTCCGGTGCTTCGTAGTAAACAAATGTTTGCTCAGGTTTCCCAGCTATCCTTTTACAGTACATGAAGAGGAAATTAAATAGGGAATCAAGGTTAAGTCATTTTCTTCCAGTTACTAGGTGTGGGTAACAGGAAATGGAATTCTAAATCCCTGTTTTGAATCTTTGACATTCCTCTTGAAATTATTGCCTCATTTTGTGTTACCGTGGAGAACGGTGGTGCTCAGCGTGCACTGTGCATTGCAGGCCCTTGTTAAAAGGGAATTCTCCATTAAATTTTGTGCCTCCAAGCCTGCTGCCCTGCTGAAGATACCATAAACCACAGCAAGAGGCAGCTTCCCTTGGCAGCATGTGCTCTTAGAAAAAAAAAGATGAAGCATCTTCCAACGAGGCAGCAACTGTATGCTCATTGAAACCTGGGTTTCTCAGCCTTGCCATTGCTGAGGCCCAGATGACGGTTGTGGGGTTGTGCTGTGTACATTGCGGGGTGTTTAGCAGCAGCCCTGGTTTCTACCCACTGGAGCCATAGCACCTTTTCCTCCTCACCCTTTAGCCTACCATGGTGACAGCCAAAAATACCTCCAGATATTCCAGTTGTCCTCTGGATAGCAAAATAGCCCCTGATTGGGGTGGATTTAAACAAAGGCAGTCCTTCACTTTGCTGTGTGAAAGGTGAGGTTGTAATAACCGGGTAGGGCTGGGGGCAGGAAGGAAGAAAGATGAATAGATTTCAATATTTTCTTTGGTTAAAAAATTATAAATATATTTAAGGGGAAAAAAAGCTGTACACTTTCATCTGTAATAATACCGTCTGGCCTTTTGCGTGAAATTTGCAGGTGAGATTTTATAAACAAATTGTAGTAAGTTGGTCTTCCACTGAAAACTTACCAGTAGAGCTAATTTAGTTTCCAATTCTCTAAATGGGTTTCTGAGGGTTTGGATCAAAAGCAGTGGCTTTGAACAGAAGATATCCAGAAGGATGTCAAGCAAAAGTGGCTAGAGTCACACTCAGGTGACACTAAGGTCACCAGGCTTCTGACTCATTCTTGCTCTACATCTTTTACTTGAGATTTTAATCATCTTTTTAGTATTTAAGAGGAAGGGATGGGGAACTGAGAAAGATGCTAGGCCTTGGTGGATGATGTGGGAGGTGGGGAAAAGGAAGGTTAAGAATGAGGTTTTGAGGCTCGATGAGGTCTGTGTAATAATCTATTGTAGGTGCCTTCGTTGACACAACAGATACAATTGGAAAAGCTGAACACACATGGAAATTTTTGTAAACTGACTAGTAATTTAAGTGACAATGAGTCCATCATACTGCAAGCAATGACAAATCTTTTAGAAAAAAACAGCAATCATAGAATAATTCATCTTTTGGATAAAGATTTTCATAATGTAGGGTATGCTTTCCTGGAGCAAGTTATGCAGGCAATTAAAAATGACAATGGAATTTGGTTTATAACTGATGAAATCCAGTTTTGTTTGTTGAAAATATATTCATTCCATTTGGAGAGTAAAGCAGTCTTTTTCTCATGATCGTAACGGGGAAAGCTAATTAAATTCACCGTTAATTACGCCCTTAACATTTGTTTCCAAGTTCATTAGTCTATAATCTAAACAGACACATCCACAATAGTTAATGTTAACCGTGTTCTAACATTCAGAACTTTAAAGGTTTATTCATTGATTCCCCAAGTGTGTGTTCAAAAAATTGTTTTAAAGAGCATACACATTAAAAATATATGATGTTGGATGAACAACCAACTAAAAATGAGACTACAAACATCACCAAATTGAATTTTATATAGTAATATAGTTGCATTGAGATGTAATGTCTTGGCAATCATTTGGTGCAAACCTACAAATTCCGTAAAAGATTCTATTCTTAAGATGAATAGCACTATCAGTCCATTCCATCATTATCTCATAAAGATGAATTCTCACCACCCTTAAAAAAAAAAACCTTTAAAGAGAACAACTAAATCTGATGGAAGACAAAATGAAGGAGACCGACACTTCTCATTGGTGTAAGCTTTTGCCTCTGGTTTCTATGGTAACCTGTGATCTGTATTCCAATCACACCTTTGAAAGGCTTGTTTTCTCCATCATGAAAATTTAGCTGGAAGCGCTGAAGGTACTAAACATTAATCTTTATGTTGTCTTTCTTTTCTTTTTTGGAAAAATTGGAGAAAGAGAATAGAGAAGGAAGGTAACCTCCACAGGCTTATACTGCAAACACAACGAGAAAATCTTTTGCCAATTTAAAGATGATTTACACACCTGGAAGATCACAAGAATAAAAACCCCGAATGCTAAATGAACAAGTTCGCAGCTCCTCTAACAAACTCAGGAAATGCCTTGAGCATAACATTGCAAATATTCATCTAACTCAATAGGGTAAAAACCTAGAGACTTGCTCATAAAGGCTGAGAATATAGTTCAGTGGTTTTCAACCTGGAGTGATTTTTGCCTCCCAGGAGACATTTGGCAATATCTGGAGACATTTTTGGTTGTCACAACTGGTGCTAGTACTGGTGGTGTGTGTGGAGGGTGGTACTGGCTGCTGGTGGATGACAGCAATGAACGCCAATCATTCTACAGTGAGTAGGACAACCTCCTAAACAAAGAATTATCTGGCCTCAAAAGGAGGTTGTGAAAACCTGCATCCGGCGTTTAGCTTTATAGATGGTGTAGTGGCGTGAGGGAAATAAATGTTCAAAAGAATACAAAGTTTTGGAGGCAACCTCATTTATAATTTGCATCCCTGGTTTTTTAACCACACTAACTTTTAAATTTCACTTTAAATGGCGGAAAGAGAAAAAAGAACAAACAAACAGTTTTCATGTTTTTCTTACCTTTGGTTTAAATGTGAACATTTCCAGCTTGCATGCATTAATCTAATTTGGTGCTGCTTCCCACCAGTAAATGTGTACAGCAGAGTGGTCAAACGTAACCGCTGCAAAATCGCTAGTGCTGTTGAGTACACTTTGCTTAATTTAAATATGTAAGTTAAAATTCTGAGAAGTTAATTTTCCTGTTAAGTGAAAATGCACTTACCTTTACCCAGCTGAATATAGCTGCACTTGCCTTTGACGTCTGCCTCTCTAAGTATGGTTACAGATTGTCGCTCCTGTTCTCCAGGGCGACCCTTTCCCTGAATTCGCGCCCAGGTCACAAGGGCAGGACCATCCTGAGGACAACCTGCAACTCAATCGATGTTTTCTTTGCTGGGACCCAGGCGAGCATGAAAGCCATCAAAACACAGCCAGAGGGCGCCAAAATGCCGCAAATAAAAGTTCCAAAGGCGTCAAATGGCTTTTGCGGGAAGGTAAAATTGGCTTTTGTCTAATCAAAGAGCTACCGTTGTCAACGATGTCACTTTACATTATTTTTGCATGTCCCTCTTGCCAATAGGTAAGCAAAGTGAACGCATCTCCCAACTCCGGTGGCTATTCTGTGTCCCGGTGGTATGCCAAGTGTCCGCCCCCCCCCCCCGCCCAGGGCACCCGGCCACGTCGCTGTTGGCCACAGCTTGGACTCCAGTGCTCGCGGGCAGCGGCGTGCGGGCTACCTCGGGCAACCCGGTCTTCTCAGTATTGGTGGCCTCCACGAAAACACGGACATCAGAAACATCGACGGCCCCTTTCCCCTCTTCTCTTCCCTCCTTCTTCTCCCAAGTCCCGAGAGCATCCTCCGAGGGGCGACGTGGCTAGCTCTGCCACCTGGACCTCTGCGGCCGCGCCTCCCTGAAGCTGCAGCCTTCGGGGCTCAGCCCCGCGTGTGCGCCTGCGGGTGTAGATGCAGGTGCGGAGCCGCCCGAGGTGCGCAATTCGTTTGCAACTGCGCCGCCCAGACGCGCAGCTGGGGCTCACCCCAACCTCGCTGCCCGCGGTGGTAGCGGAATCGCAGCCATCGTCGGGAGCTGGCTGGACTGGGGTCTGAGAAGCGTAGCTGGTGCCCTGGGCGTCAGGCATCACCTCGAGGCAGCTCCCTAAGTCTGAGCGAGAGCCCAAGCACTTCTCCAACCGTTCCGAATAAATGAGAAGCGGGGGTGGGGGGAGAGACAGAGAGAGAGAGAGGAGCCCACGGACAGCCCAGGCGCGGCGGGGGAAGGGGGAAGGGGGGCACCGGAATGGAGGGGAGGAGAGGGGAGGCGGAGGGGGATCTGAATAGAGGGCAGTTAGGAAACATTGGCGGGGCACTGGGTTGGAGGGAGGGGGGAGAGGTGGGGGGAAGGGAGGGACCAGGATGGAGGAGGGGAGAGAAATGGGGGTGACTGTGCTGGAGGGGAGGGGAGGTGAGGGCCCAGAGCTGGGGGGAGTGAAGTGGAGGCGGGCGTGTTGGGGCTGGAGGAGAGGGGAGGGTCTGCGCCGGAGGGATGGATAGGGAGGGAGTAGAGGGAGTGCAGGGGGTGGGGAGCACCGAGCTGGAGGGAGTGGAGGGGAGGCGGGCGGGGCACCGGGCTGGAGGGAGGGGAAAGCGGCGGGCGGGGAGCGCGGGAGGAGGGAGGCTGGGCGGGCAGACGCGCGGGGGGGAGGGCGCTGGGCAGGAAGGGGAGGGGGAGCGAGCGCGAGAAATGCAGAGGCTGCAGCGGCGGCGGCGGCGGCAGTAGCGGCAGCGGCGACGACGGCGGCGGCAGCGCTCCAACTGGCTCCTAGCTCCGGGCTCCGCCGTCGAGCCGGGAGAGAGCCTCCGCCAGAGGCCAGGCACCAGCCGGACGAGGTCAGCGACCCCGGCCCCTCGGCGGCACCGCGCTCACCCAGGGGCTGCACAGGCACCCAGAGCCGGTAAGGAGGCGCGCCCTGTGGCCCCGTGCCGTGCGGACCCGGGGGCCTCCGTCCCCCGCCGCGCCCCGCCCCGCAGCCCCCGGCTCTCCCTCAGCAAAGCGGGGAGCAGGGGTGCGGGCATGAAGTAGACGGCGAGGGCCTGTGGACCCTCTGTGCACTTCGGGGATCCCGGGTGATGGGGGGCCCCGAAGTGGGCGGCTAAGGCCGCTCGCAGGGTGGGGAGGGCGAGGGGGGAGGCGAGGCTGTTAGGCGGAGCTGGGGGGAGGGGGCTGTCGGGGAGAGAAGCTACGGGTGAGGGAGGAATTGCCGAATGCGAAACGCCCTAAGCGCGTGGAGTCCCGGGGAGACGGTTCTGTGGGCTGAAAGGAGCGCTTCTGTCACCGGAGCCCTTCCCAGCCCGGGAGAAAGCGCTCGGGGCGAGGGGCGCAGCCGCCAAAGATGGAGGGTGGGGGGTGGGGTGGGGCGGGAGTCCGGGGAGAAAGAAGACAGGGATCTGGCTCGATCCGAAGGAAGGGGCCGGTTTTTGCTTTGGCAAACGGGTTTTCCCGACCTGTGGGACTCCAGGATCTTGGTTCTGGTTGCCAAGGAATACGAGGTTCACACGGCAACATGCACTCGGAAGCACCTCCCGAGCAGATCGGAGCCCCAGCCTCATCGGTGGCGGAATTGCTGCCTTCCTACTAATCCGTGGGCTGCCTTGGAGCGATTTGATTTTTCGAGCCTTCTGTTCCAAGAATGCGCATGGCGCCTCCGCCCTGAGCCCCGGCCCTGGCCCCGGCCCGGGCTCGGGGGGGTGTGGGCTTGTGACAGCGCGCGGCCTTAGCGGAGCTCAGCCAGGCTGGGAGCGCGGGGTTGGGGTTGAACAGCTTTTGCCCAAAGCGCTCACGCTGAAACCCGACGCCCGGTTTCTGCTCCCCCAGTCCCCGTCCCCCCTCCAACTCCAGAAAAATAAAAATTGAGGAATCCTGGATCCGATCGCACGCACAATGCGCGGCTGCAAACCGCATTCTTTTCATGAATATTCATCGAACGCTTGGCCGGGCTCCTTATCTGCTTCCCCAGAGACATTTCCGCCTTGAAACGAACTCGGTGGACAGCCTTTGCCCGTGTAATTTTCACTCTGTTGAAATTAGCACAGCGCACATGTGTGCATTTTTGAGTACCTTGTACAGGGTTGACACACCTCTGTCTCCCCCGCCGCCACTCGCACTGTGGGCGGGCTAAAACCCAACACTAGCATCGAAATGGCCTTCTGCTATAGGGGTGTGGACCGACTTCCCCCCTTCCCCCAGGGATTACAGCCCGGGCTAACAGACCCCCAGTACTGCAGGCAAAATGAATGAATCGGGACTGTAATTACCTATTCCTTTGTCTTGGCCTCGCGCATGCGCCCGAGAGCTGGGTGTGGAGGGCCCGGCAGCCCCATCCCATCTCCATCATCCAGCCACCCACTCCCCTCCCGAGCCGACGAACAAAGGCGTTTGCCCTAAATATTGCGGGAAACCCTTGGACACCAATGACAGTTTTTCCCGCCTGTGTGTATGTTTCTTCTTTTCCAGGCTGCCTCTCTTTTGCTTTCTTACTGATTTCAGTTGATCAAAATTAAGATTTACCTCGATGATGAGGGCAAATTGTGGATTAAATATTTTGTACCCGCACACTGCGATTTTTTCTTTCTAGTACTGCTCATTGTTCTTTTTCCCCGTAACATATCTTACCGCAGTGAGGGTCTTTCTTAATTTGCATCAATTAAACGTTTGACAGATCTTTGTTGGTCATTTGATTAAGGGACTGTGGCCTCAAAACTGTCAGTGGGCGTTGCCTCCAGTGACACCACTTGGGGAAAATTAAGACATCTTGGCGTTTATTCGAACAAGATGGCCTACGAAAACCAGAGAGAAGAAAATGGTTACCTTGTCAGGATCCTAACACTTTCTGTTTTCCTCTGGACCCCTTCCTCATTGTTTCGTTAAGGATTCCAAAAGGCGAATGGCGTCCAGATGGAAATCTACTGATAGGGGGAGGAAGAAGGCAGCCGTTGGGGTGAAGCTGGTTAAGTTCGTAATGATCCTTTTTTTCCCGTTACCTAACAGAAGCCATGATATACCTTTGATGGCTGACTTTCTTTCAGATGATCTGTTTTCCAGGTTATGGCCATTTAGATTTCTTTTTGGGCTAGTTTGTTTTTACCACCCAAAAAGGGATTTATTGTGTATATCAAATATGACATTTTCTGCAGTGGCAGGTTATGTTAACAGGGCTTTATGCTTAAGTATTGTCAGTACATCCTGGTGGAATAACACGTGGCAGCAATGGAAATCATCTCTTTTGTCCTTTTTGATGAGAACTTGATATTGACCACCTTCAGTATATCAGGGTCCATCTTCTGGCTGGGGTGGCTGTCTAGCTGTCTTGTAGGTGCCACGGATTGTACCCTCTGTACTCCTTAGTACTGAGTTTCATTATGATTTAGAGAGCTATGTGTACGGGTTTCTTTCTTTTTTCCTTTAGGTTGTGTTTTTGGCGAGGGGTATGTTGGAATTCAATAGCAAATATATACCAGCATGTCCCAAATTGAGTAACTCTTAGGTTTTTGAGTGAGAGTATTTAAATCGAATTTTAAAAATTATTACAGAATTTAAAAATGTCTGTCGTTTCCCTTAATCATTTAGCCAGCTAGCTTTTTGCCAAGCTTTAGCGGGTAGAGAAATTGAGCCTTTTGAGAAAATGCACCAACAATGACAGTGGCATTTCTGTTCTTGAACTGGTCCTCAGCCTGCCATTGTGACGTATAGAAGAGAACGGTTTCTCCCCACATCACCCTAGTTTAAAGGCCCAATGGGAGAGCCCTAAGCATTTCGGCTCTCTATTCTTGGAGGTCTCTTCTAATCCTCCTGGGTGTACCAGGATCCATAATCCTCCTGGATCTGATGGTGCAAGAGGTGATGTGTTCTCTCTTTATTTTTTAATTTCACAATTAAGAACAATTTGAAACCATTTTCATTCTGTGGTCAAGATAAGTGGAGTATGACATCAGAGAGAAACTTTCATTTGGGGGAGATTTGATCACTCTAAAATGGATGTCTGTGTTAATCATGGTAGTTTTGTAAAAATTGCAAAATCCACACCCATTTTTAAAAACAATGTGTCATGTATATACACATGCACACATACACATATGTGTTTATACACATTATAAAATCTTATGAATAGCTTGAAACAAACTGGTTGGTATAGAATATTTATTATTTTATAGTGCTTTCATACTGGTCTTTGGAACATAATCAAATTCTTCCTTTCTAAATAGGTGTTTGAAAGGGAAAGCCTACCTAGTCTTTTCCTCACTTAATAAGCTCACTTCCCATTTATCCCGGTGTACCTGGAGCATTAAGCTAAGAGGTTCATTTATAGGCTTAAAAACTTATATCAAGCACTACTGAACTTTACAAGCTGGAATAAACAATGCCTACTAAATAAAGGATTTATAACATTGTTCTGTCTTATTTTTGTGATCTCTAGTATAAATTTTTTTTTTTCAAAAATATCCGAAGAAGACCTGTGAACTATTATTTGTCAAAAGCAATTGCCCTTGGTATCTGATTCTGTTGAAGGAAATGCTTTGATTTGTCCAGGCCTTTACCTTAATGTAGTTTGTACCTACTCATTTCACACCTTCTTTCTCTTCTTAATGATGGTCTTAGCTGGTAAGCTGGAAACCAGGTAACTGCTGAGGAAAAACACTGAGTATGTCTGAGGACAGCTTGAATGTTCTCTCAGAAGGGGTATGGAATCTTTATTGTTTTATCAGATTTTCTCTGTTCACCTAGTCCTTTGCCTTTATTGGATCTCTCAAGACTTCAGATAAACCATGGACACGAGCTTTTCTCTTTGTCTTAATTATAGTGGACAAATATTAGAAAGTAGCAGTGAGGTTGCAAGTAGTCAAAAGTTTTTGAGTACTAAAGTGCTCTTTATGAGTTTTGGGGCAATGTTTTTGGGGTGGCTTCTCAGGAAATAGTGTAAAGACACTGGATTTGAAGATTCTCTAGGCAGTGGGTATCCATCTGGGCAAATTACTTCAAACCTCACTGAATTTCACTTTCTTCAATTGTAAGATTGGGAAAATAATTTAATTCCGATGTTGGGGTAATAATAATAATAACTACACATGACATCTGAAAATGAGTAAGTGTGCAATGGCGGGCTCCTCAGGGCTCCTCAACCTCTTAGTGTCAATTATTTAGTGATGTCAATTACACTACAAGTGTTTTCCACAACTGATAGTGTCAGTCAACACTTGCGGTGTAATTGACATCACTAACTACTTTCAGTATATTCACCTGTATTTTTCTTTCAGCTTGACTAATGAAGTCCTGGGGACCCCCAGAGTATTAGTGAGAAGTAGGATGTCTCAATCCCAAAGGGGACCAAATATCATAGTGTTCCTATTTACTGCCCTTGTGTTGGTAGATATTGGAAATTCTGTGAGACATTGTATGGGAATCAGCCTGTAAGTGCATTTCATGATGTCAGGATGACCACCTTCCTTGAATTCCCCAGGTCTGCTTATGCTAATGTAACTCAAGAGGTGACATTTACTTTCTCTTGAGAAAAATACAAGGGTGGTCTTGAAACCCCAGCAGTGCCCAGCCTGCCCAAGGAAGGCTTTTGTGAAATACCTTTCCTGCCACAGCCATTGAAACAGACATCTAGTTAAGTGTCACATGAGAACAAGTGTCTGGTAAACGTTCTCAAGAGTAAAAATCAACCATACAGAGTCCATTTCTCACCAGAATATAGTTCAATTGTAATTTGGAGGAGCCACAAGCCTAAGAAGGAAACTGGTTAAAACAGCATTCTCCTTTTCCCTGGAAGTCAGGAATGGGATGAAATGGAGGCAGAGATAATGAAATAGTATGTTTTTCTTCTGCACTCTAAGGACTTAAGTAACATAAATTATTCTTTAATTTTTTACAGACTTTCCATACTTAGTACATTTTTGAACAAAACCAGGGAAAGCTGAGCTGTTTTGACTCACCAAGGCCATCAGTGCTGAGAGGTGGTGATTGAGCAGGCTTGGAAGTCTAGGAATACATTCCTGAAAGCTTTAGAGATTTAGAAATAGAAACCATCTGCAAGCACAACAGGGGCCCGGGGCATAAGGAAACACTTCAGGATAATATAGGAAAATGGTGTGCAGTGGAGAAAGCAAAGCATTGACATGATATTTCCCCCTTATCACTTAAGCATTTTATGAACTGTTTTTTTTTGTTGTTTCGTTTTGAAGGAGGCAGGACTGGACTTCATTGGTTTGTTTTCGAACTTCTCTCTGAAATAGAGATTGCAGCAATTTATATATTGCGTAGGGAGTATGATATTTAGAAAGCATGATTTTGGGGGTTAGGCGTGGTAGGGGTGGACTTGGGAGCCACAGCACCAGGTTAGAATCTTCTCTCAGCCATTTACTGCTTGTACGATCTTTGGCCAGTTGCTTACTTTCTCTGTGCCTCAATTGTATTTAGAAAATGGGGATTATAAAACATGGTTACCGTAAGGACTAAATGAAATTGTCATGCACTGAGGACAATGCCTCCTTCCATTTAGTGCATCTCTTTAATCACACTCACCATAAAGGAGTGAGAATATCCGTTTTCT